TTCCTCATGGATGGGGAAAGCTTGGAAGAGCTGCTTCTAAACCCACTTACAGCCCCCCAGTACCTGGTAGTGTCTGGATGTACGTCTGGAGCTCGTTTTTCACAGACTTGGCCACATTGTCACACACCTGTGGGACAGAAAGGCCACAGAGCTGAGCAGGGCCAGCCGGGTCACAGCCATGCTCCCTGCTCCATGACAAAGCCTGCTGAAGTGAATGAGCACACAGTGATGATTGCCTCCATTCACCAGGCAGCACATTAAGTGTCCAAGACACAAGCAGGGTTTGTACCTACAAGCATCTGCTTGCAGCAATTTCCCCTCAGCACAGTTCAGTGGCGTGCAGCAGAAGGATCAGAGGAGAGATCCAGGTGATGCTGCCTCCCAGGCTGGCTTTAAAGCAAACCTCAGTGCACAGAGCCATGCCAGCACACAGGCAATGCTGCCTGGTGCCCTGTGCCACAGGGCTCCTGCACAGAGCAGCCACGCATGGCAGGAGACCTCCATCAGCCCAGGATCAAGCTCCAAAGACAAGACCTCTGAGGCCTGATGTGTCACAGCTCTGGTCACGATGGCTGGAGACAGGGCAAGGAGCTGGGTGCAGCCAGGCAGGTGTGAGGGGGGAACACCCTGTGCCACCCCAGCCAGGAGAGATGGGCTGGCTGGTCTCTCCTTGCATGATGAAGGTGAGGGAAGAAGAAATAATTCAGTCAATTGAATTTCCTTTGACTGGTGTCCAGGCACAGGAAACCCATGGATGCTGATGCAGGCAGATCTCATGCTGGATCCAGGGGAATCCTGGCTGCCAGAGGCAACATCCTTGAGCCTGGATCCAATAGACAGAGCACCTTTTTCCCAGAGCTTCTTTTGCCCAGAAAGACATATCCAAGAGTAGAAGAGAAAGGCAAAAGGCCAAATCCCCACTCACAATCTCCTTGGCACTGTGACCCTCCCTGTCACCCATTATCAGCCCTTATCTGACTGCTCAGTTCTGAGCAGGAGCTCCCAAACCTGCCATGGTGACAACCCCATCTCACTGAAGACCTGTCAAAACAACATTCAGGATGTTCAGGAAGAGCATGGAGGAAGCAGAACTCTTCCATAAGGAGAAATGAAATTTTATAAGGAATAGCATAGAGAGGACGCAAAAGCAGGAAGTCTTCCCCCTGGCTTTCAGCAAAATTTGAAGTAGAACAGAAAAAAAGGCTTCAAAGAGCTGAACCCTGACCAAACACTGCTGTGTTTGGCAAGGAGCAGCCAAAACCACATCTAAAGCTCAGCATATGTGCCGGTCCCGGTAGTGCTTCCTGCAAGTGGTGACAGAGGGAATGGAACATGAAATCCTGCCCTGCTGGCCCCAACCCTTTGGACAGGTAAAGGCTTCTCCTGCTGAGCTGCTTTGCCTCTTCTGGCAGTGTGGGCTCTGCTCCACTGGGGAAAGGCTGGCTCCCCCAGGCTGCTGGAGAAGGAATGGGAATGGTCACATGGGAACCAGGAGTTGGACAGGTAAAGGCTTCTCCTGCTGAGCTGCTTTGCCTCTTCTGGCAGTGTGGGCTCTGCTCCACTGGGGAAAGGCTGGCTCCCCCAGGCTGCTGGAGAAGGAATGGGAATGGTCACATGGGAACCAGGAGCCCAGGGACTTGCAGGAGTCCTGTGCTGCTGCTGCTGCTGCCCTTTGCCCAGGACTGCAGGTCAACACTCCTCTCCCCACTGTGCATAGGCCCCCCTGCTCCCCAGGTCAGGAGTCCCTCTGGTCCCACACGCTCCTCAGCACGTGTGGGCACTTCCCCATCCTGTCCCAGCTCTTTCCACATCTCTCTCATGATGCCATGGCTCGAGTCCCCCTGCAGCCACGTGCTGGGGCTACCAGGTACTACAGGGACCAGGTTGGGGCAGTTAAGCTCCTTGGGCTGTGAGCAATTCGGGTACATTTGCCATCTGCAAAAAAATCTGAATACATCTTTGTTCTGTGATGCTCTAACCTGCCCATTTGCCATCTGAAGGAAATCTGAACACATCTGTGTTCTCTGGTGCCATTACCAGCCTGGGATTTCCCCGGGCAGCTTGTACCAGTGCCAGAGGCAGGACTGCTGCTGCTTTCCAGCATCACACTGACAGGTGGGAACCACAATGAAAAATCCGTGGATTCTACAAGAAAAGTGGGAGCAGCCTGCCTGGGTTTGGACAGAACTTGGAAAGAGAAGT